TCGCTGGCCGTGTGATCTTGACTCGGGGTGGGAACATAGCAAACAAATAATTAATTAACCGCAATCGTCACCACAGCCTCATGAGCTGCGGAACGATAAGGACGCCAGACAGGTCAACATTCTTAATGTTTTTCTTTGGGAAAAGGTCGAAACAGCGACCTTCTACCCAGGCCTAAATTTCCCTCAGCCTACAACTAAGTACAGTATGGCATGGCATGGTATGGTATAGTACGGTACACTGTAGTATGGTATGGCATGGTATGGTATGGTATGGTATGGTATGGTATGGTATGGTATGGTATGGTATGGTATGGTATGGTATGGTATGGTATGGTATTTATGTAGTATATATGGAAAGGTAGAATGGATTCCAAACAGTTTGCAAGTGTCGTTCAGGTCGGTGTTCTTACAAAGTCCGTTAGGGAGAGGTCCACTGTCCTATTGCTATTCATGTTCTAAAACCTCATCGCCACAATGTTGATTTTTTAAAAGGCGAGCTGTTTAGATCCCAAATATCAAAGCTAATCCAAACCAGAGAGATTCAGTATCTAAGCAATATTCAAGGAAAAAGACGTTGCTATGAGGGAATCGAACTCTCTTGTGACAGGGAAAAGTCTAACGTGTATTCTACTATCCCAATCAGAACAAAAGGTGAAAACAAGAAAAGGTAAGAATCCCCCAACCCCTCGACCCCTGCACCTGTCAGGTGAATATAAAAAAAACTGCTTTTGACATCACCTGCAATGATACTGTAAGGGAAATGACATGAAAATACCGAAGTCAACACACCGATGACTACTATGGCCTAAGAGAAAGCTACATCCCATATATTCCTATAGTGTGGTAACAAATTCGTAGAGCAACTTATTGTCAAATAATTTCCTCAACTAGTGAACATAAAGTCTCTAGTTTTTGCACAATGACTTGTATCGATATGTCTTAACAGATCAATACTTTTGGAAACACCTGTCAGCTGTATTCTAGAAAAATCCTTAATAATTACTTATAAAAAATCCTAGTGGGTAGTTTTTAAAAATAGATTTTAAAAGGTTTACACCTCTTACAATATCGCTTTTAAAAGCAAGTCCGTCATATTTTTTTTCTTATTGCAACATTGTGCTTATTGAACGCATGTTTTGAGAAACTTTAGTGCAAC